AAAAGATGGATTGGTTGAAGGTAAAGCTAGCTATAGAATTTGAAATGAGTGATTTAAGAGAGCTCCACTATTGCTTTGGAGTGGAGTTTGTGAGAGATCGAGCTAAGAAGATTATTATATTGAGCCAAAAGAAGTACATTAAAGAAGTGTTGAAATGGTTCAATATGGAAGAGTGCAAGTCCATTGGAACACCTTTGGAGGCAAATTTGAAGTTGATAAAGCTCACGGATGAGGAATTTGCTGAAATTGAAGAAGAAATGAAAGATATTCCATACAAGGCAGCAGTAGGCTCATTTATGTATACAATAGGTTGTACAAGGGTGGATCTTACATATGCGGTGAGTGTTGTGAGTTTACACATGTCAAAGGCTAGACCAATTCATTGGACAACCATTAAGAAGATCTTGAGGTACTTAAATGCACTTTGAACTTCAAATTATGCCTTAGAGATGATAGTATTATATTGCATGGATATTGTGATGTGGATTGGGCTGGAGATGCAAATGATAGAAGATTAATAATAGGATATGTATTCTATATTAGAGTCGGAGCAATTTCATGGAATTACAAGAGGCAACCAACAATTGCAAGGTCTACAATGGAGGTGGAATACATGGCAATAAGTTATGGTGCAATGGAGGCAATATAGCTAAGACAAGTTTTAGAAGATATTGGATTTGTGCAATTGGAAGCAACTCCAATGAAGTGTGACAATCAAAGATGCCTTGCTTTTGCCAAGAATCCAAAGCATCATTCAAGGACAAAACACATTGACATTCAACATCACTTCATATGGGAGAAGATTGAGATGGGAGTAATTGACATGAAGTATTATGCAACGGAAGACATGCTTGTTGATTTGCTCACAAAAGCATTGGTGAAAGACAGACATTATAAATTGACAAAGGGATTAGGTTTATTAGCCTTTGATCAATAGCAAAGTGGGAGTGTTAAAATAAATGGAGGATAAGTTAGAAGGTAAAAGATATTATCTTAGATAAGTTACTAATGATCAAAGGGCAGCAAAGATCAAGGTAGCGGCTAGGATTTTAAGTGGCGGCTAGGATTATAGGTGGTGGCTAGGTTAAAAAGAATTTTGGATTTAGTTGGATGAAAGTATAAAATTGACTAATCTTGATATTATTTCTCAAGAAATTACCAGTCATCATGCAGAACTAGTAATTCATGATGATATATCCATGCATAATGTACCTTCAATTCCTATGAAAAACAATCTTGGAATTGTAAGGAATAAGAACAAGTTGAGTAAAAAATTATCTATTTTGTATTGTGCTACAGATGATATTTGGAACACACCATCTATAATGGTTGATGAATCATTTGCATATATGATTATAGACGCCCTGTCTTACGAGGAAGACGATCTTGGACCTCAAACCATCGAGGAGACAATACATCGCTTTTATTGATCAAAATGGAAAAGTGCTATTGAGGAAGAGTATGCCTTTTTGCGTAAGAGGAAGGTCTTTGGTCCAATTTTAGACACTCTTACATTTGGCTTTGTGGGATATAAGATGGTATTAATATGCAAGCAAGATGCTCAAGGTCAAATAATCTGCTATAAAGCTTGTCTTGTTGCTGAAGGATTTATTCAATGATTTGGCATTGATTATGAATCCACATATTTTCTAGTCATGGATTCAATTACATTTTGATATATTATTGGAATGATAGTTCATGCCACCCTTAAGATGCATTTGATGGATGTAGTAATTATATATCTATATGGTTCTCTTGATGCAAATATTTATATGAAAGTTCCACCTGACTTAGAAACAGGAACTCCAAATGGACCTACTCTAAGACAATATCATGGTATTAAATTATATAAAGCCTTGTATGGTTTAAAATAATCCAGATACATGTAGTATCAACATCTTTGAGATTATTTAATTACAAATAAATTTGTAAGTGATCCACTAATCCCTTGTTTGTTTATCAAACGAGATAAAATTGGTTTTGTAATCATGGCTGTATATGTTGATGATCTTAATCTAGTGGACACTACATCTGCATGTGTTACAGCTATTAACCTACTTATACGTGAATTTGAGATGAAAATACTAGAAAAAATAACATTTTGCATTGGTCTTCAGATTATGCATCTAACAGATGGTAGCATTTTTTTCTACCAATTAATGTATATTAGACAAATCTTGCAAAGTTTTAATATGATTGATGCTTATCCATTGTCCACACCAATGATTGGACATGGTCATGATGGTCATGATCCATACCATCCATGCGAGGAAGAAGAAGAAATATTAGGAGATCAATATCCATACCTCACAACGATTGGAGCACTTTTGTATTTAGCTACATCTACAAGACTAGATATTGCATTTGCAGTTAGAGTTTTTCTAAGACATAGTGCATGTCCAACACTACGACATTGGAATGGCATCAAATATTTATTACGTTATTTAAAAGGTACTAAAGGCTTGAGATTATACTACATATAATTTGCAAATCTAAAATTAGTTGGATATTATGATGCAGGATATAAATTTGATACTGCAACTACTAAATCTCAAATAGGATATGTATTTTTAAGACATAGAGTTGCAATATCATAGAAATCAGTATAACAAATAATAACTGCAACTTCATCCAACCATGCATAAATTATTGCCTTACATGAAGCATCTTGAGAATATATTTGGTTGCGATCAAATGATAAATTCATTCAAACAATCTGTGGATTTTCATATGATGATTCTCCAACTATCTTACGTGAAGATAATAGTACTTGTATTGCACAGATGCAAGTTGGTTTAATTAAAGGTGACAAGACAAAGCATATTGATTCAAAGTATTTTAGTTATATCCATGACTTGATTATTGATCAAACACTTATAATTAAGAAAATTGAATCTGAAAATAACCTTGCTGATCTCTTCACCAAAGCTCTTCCATTGTGCAATCATCGTCGACTTACTTATGGAATTGATATGTGGCAACTTGTTTTTCTTGAATAAGAAAGTTAATGAGCTCTTTAAATAATTAAAAAAAAATGATATTGTACTCTTTTTCCTTCATCTATGGTTTTATCCTTAAATATAATAAGGTTTTGATAGATAAGGTTTTAATGAGGCAACAATTGTTTATCTTCTAAGATCACAGAAAATTATAGATCATAATTCTATACAAATTTTATATTATGTAAATATTATGATGAACAAGGAGGAGTGTTGAAATCATTAAATATAGCTGCCACTCTCCATAATATTTACTATAGACTATAGTAAATACCATAACTATAGTATTTAGAGTCTAGTGGAGAAGTATTGTTTATCCTCTCTCCTTTCTCTTCTTGTATACGAGACACAACCAGATCAATAGATTTTTATGTGTGAAGCTCTTTCTTCTTAGAAACCCTCTTGTATGTATGACTTACTACTACTCTTGTGTGTAAGTATTACTTATTATTACGCTTGTGTCTTTCTAAACATTCTCAACTGTTTATATGTATTCATTAAGGTGCTACCTATTAATGTATTTTTTTAATCAAACTATCTTTCTTTCTGTTTAATAATTTTCAATCTTAACAATCATCTTTGGTACTACTATTGCAAATTATTGCTACATGTTGCAAACACTACTGCCTATCATTGGCTATTCTTGCCTACCAATAGTAATCAGTAAGTATTGTTATTTGCATACAAAATAATTACTGAAAATCAGTAAGTATTGTTATTTGCATACAAAATAAATAAATAAAATCTTAGTAAACATTGGAACATTTCACCAGCTATCTCAATAAATAAAATGTATTTCTATTACATGGATTTGAATCATTGAATTTTCCATGCCAGGCTTAATAATAAATTAATAGACATGCATGCAAAACGTGAAATGCAGAAAGTAAAATAACATTTTCCTTCAGCATAAATATTGATTAAGGAACTATATTATGTCTTTTCGATAAATAATATATGTTTATAAACCTGTCACACAAACTACGTTAAGTTGCCAATTACACTACTACTGCATTTTGCTAGTCAGTTTTTTTTATATAATAACTTCATGTCCCAACTTTAACACTTGTGCAATTTAATACTAAAATCACATTAGTGCGTGAGTTTTCATAATCTGTATAATTATTTTAATCAGTTTGAACATTGAGTACAGTATATACTGATGTGTTTTCTACATTACTTGATTTTTTGAACCTCAATACTATAGTACGTAATTTTATCTGTAATACACCATGGATTTCACATAAGATTTAATGTATAGTTGGAGAGTTACAAGATATATATTATACTATATTTAGAGTAACGAGTTTTCTTTAATTATTAAACAATAATTAATGAAATTAGATATAATTTTTTTAAAATTATTTTATTCTTGTATATATATATATATATATATATATATACATACATGTATTTACACACTTTCATTAAATTTGAAATATTAAAGACATGCAATTTAAAAGTTTTTGTAAATTTCATCATTAATGCCAACATTCAAATAAATTGCTACCTTAATCTGCAATTTATCATCTTTCCAAAGTATTATACCACCTGGACATGAATGCTTTTAAATATGATGTAACTTTTCAGGATTTAATATTTTTTTTTATTATTAACATTTTTTTGAGTAAATCTCCAATTCTAAGCATCGTTTTAAGGTTTTAGATACCCCCTCTCCCCCCCCCAAAAAAAAAAAAAAAAAAAAAAAAAAAACTTGCATAGTTTTGTTAAACAACATCATAAAGTTAGTTGCATGATAAATCACACCAGGTAATGATAAGTTGAAATAATACATTTCACTCAAACAAGTCTTTCAAACCAGTTTGAACAAACTGAACATGGGATCATGTTTCATTCAAAATAGAAAGAGCAAAATAACAAGGACAAATGCCACATCGCACGATGGACCCCCAGACAGGGACCCAGCGAATCACCGGGTGGACCCGGCTCGGAAGCGAAACCCTAATCAGCAGCGTGTGCCGGGTAAAATATGGCGTCGGCTTCACCCTAGATCCTCTTTCGCTTCGTTGCCCTCGTTGCTTCGTTCGCGTACGCAGCAGCTCAAGCACCAGCGCGGTTGCTGGAGTTTGGTTCTTGGTCCCCACGCAGCAAGCATCATGGTGCTCTCCAACGATATTGATCTCTTGCATCCTCCAGCGGAGCTGGAAAAGCGAAAGCACAAGCTGAAACGTCTCGTGCAGTCGCCCAACTCTTTCTTCATGGTACACACGATCATGCATCCTTATACTCTTGTAACCTGTCTGTGGTATTATTCTAGCTTTCGTGCATTAACGCCGTTGTAAGAGGTTCAGGAAAAAAAAATGAACACTCCGTTTTTTATACACGGTTTTCTAATCATCTTCAGTTTTTTTAGGGTTTCCGTCTCATTTGGAAGTGTTCGGGTAGTGGGATTGATTCTGCAATAGGGATGATTCACTGTGATCGTGAGTGTATATGGGAGTATTAATGTCACAATTTTTTTACAGTTTCTGCATCACCTGATCTCGGTGTGTCTGCACGCAAAACATGTAGTGTGGTGTACATTGAATTTTATATCTGATGTGTATGTCACCTGTTGTGGTTTGTGATGGGCCCGCAGGATGTGAAGTGCCAAGGTTGTTTTAGCATGTAAGCGCTTTTCCGATTTTGTGTGTGGATTTATTTTAGATTTGACATTATCGAACTATCGGCTGCCGCGTTTGTATTTACGTGAGCATTGTTGCCATGTTTGTAAGTTGTTCTCTGCATTATTCTAAGCTGCCTTGTTTTAGCTTGTAAATCATGTACATCATTCTGACCACTTATCAATAATCATGATCTTTGTTACTTCGCGCAGCACAACCGTGTTCAGCCACTCCCAGACTGTGGTTCTCTGCGGGAGTTGCTCCACAGTGCTGTGCCAACCTACCGGAGGAAGGGCTCGCCTGACCGAAGGTTGCTCTTTCAGGAAGAAAGGCGACTAAATGTGTTATTGTAGGTGCTCCTCGGGATACCCGCTGTGTTATTAAAGAACAAGTATGAGGGCTGCACCATTGCGCAACAGAATCAGTCGTAATGAATGCCAATAAATGGTTCGTTGAGCTTGTTTCTCAATGATAGCCTTTGTTACTGGCACTCATTGAGTGGTTCCAGTGCTTCAGAACAACCTGGGTACGCTTGAATTTTATGTATGAACGCTTTGTGGGTGCAAATGAGTTTGTGAAAGATTTGAGGGAAAATTCCGGGATTATTCTAAATTACGAAGCGCTCTGTCTGTTTTCCTGGTGCGCATGGAGAATTGATGAAGACTATTCTTAATAAACAGAAAGATTACTTGTTTTTGTTCGCTGATGTTTCAAGATGGTGTCACTGAAGGTAGTTTTTATTCTTTGTTTGATCACCATCATTTATTTAAATCTCAGATTTCTGGAGTTAAGCGTATAGAATGGAATCGGACACTTTAGAATCAGTACTGAAGATTTTGATAAACATAATGAAATTAAAAATTCTTGCGAATTCATACTATAATAACATGATCCTCTGACTCACTTTTCAATGTCTTCGTAGAAGACGTGACCTTCATCCAGAGAAAAGACGAAAAATCTTACTCCAGTACAACATGAGTGTAAGCGCCCACTAATGTTTCCCTTTTAGGGTTATCAAAGCGTGAAGGTCCAAGTAGACACAGATGAATCGGAATGTATTCTTAATAATCCCAATCCCCCTCCTAAAATCTGTGACACAAAGACCTCATCTTGCTCCACTTTAGCTGGTGCCAACCTATTTAAAAGCACATAATAAAATAATTGGAAACGTAGCACTTCTATTTAAAAGACTGTAATCTAGATCCTACAAGTAACAATTTTGAAAGAATAAACATAAGCATATATAGCAAAAGGAGGCCTGAAGTTTTACCCCAAAAACCGTGTGTCTAATTAATATTCGTTAACTAATAGTTTTTGCTTATCTGATATCATTTGCTTGAACATTAACCACCAATCCCTCGTTTTGAATAATAAATTTAGAAAAGGTGAAATTTCTTAAAGTAAGTGAGAAATAAAACCCTAATTCTACAACTCAAGGATTGTGAGCTTGCACAACCAACCCCCAACTCATGACTGACACAATTTTAATTCAACATGTGCATCTCCATTCTTGAACCAATGCTAGATGTGGATGGCACCCAATTCCCATGTAATCTGTGTGTGTCATTGAAACTTGAAATTATCATGATCAATGTCCATTGATGCAAGTTCCTCTTCTACATCCTCTGCCAGTGATTGGACCCTTCATTGGGTGATTCAGTCAAAGCATTGTCGCTCCACTGTTGTTGGCTGCTCCTAGATGAAGGCAAAAATCCATAGGTGTTTATTGTGTTGGAAGAGAAACTAGTGAGAGTACCTTGTGTAATTTTTAAAATTTCTATCCACCAGATTATTAATTAGACTGAGTACTAATATTTTAAAGCCTTTTTAATACATCTGGTGTAGAAATAGAAAAATAAGGTAGTGTAATTACATCATATGGGATATAAACAAAATGTTGCATATTAATCATGATCAAGCAAACTGATGGTGTTGAAAAATTTATAGTTTCATTGCATGTTTTTGTAGAAATCAATAAAATTGAAGCATTAATATGGTGTTTTTATTTTATTTTATTTTATTTATACATAAAACATGCATGATTTTATCATGATGTTCATACTTCATTCAATATAAAATGTTTGCATAATAAGCAATAATCAAAAGTAAAAATCAACTAACACAACTTCATCAATTTTTTTTTTATTTATTTTTTAAGAGTCTTATTTAAATTTGATGAAAAAACCAAACTTAGAACTAAGTAGATTCTCATCGATTTTGTATTCAAAGTGTGTTATTGTAACCAAGCTTTCAATACAAACATGATGCTACTTTGATGTTATTTCAGTGTGATGGATTTTGATAAATGTTGTCCACAACTTTATAAATGTTTATTATATATATTTTTTAAAAATTACATTAAAAAAAATATTTACTCTGTATTGAGAAACACATAGCCTATGCTAAAAAACATTAAAGCAAGCTAAAAGATAATATTTTACAAGGTATCTACTTGTAGACTCATAAAAAAGAACTTTGTTTTAAATTTTGAATAAGTTCCAAAATGTGACATCAAAATAATACAAATCTATTTTTTCAAAACAAAAATCAGGTATTTTTTTAAAAAAAAATTAAACTTCCAAATTTATTTCGAATTAAATTTGGCATCAGTTATAAAATTTGCACTTTAGTTATAGAATGACTAGTTAGTTTAATAGTGTATGATTATTTCAAAACTACAACATCCTTCTAAGATATATACATATATACATATCTATATATATATATATATATATATATAAGATTTTATTTAGATTAGTCAGTGTAATTTTTATAATTAAAAATGAAATAAATAAATATTTTTCATCATATGTAATAATCACCATGTGAATTACGTTGCCCAAATTGTGCGGGCAGGGTCAGGAGAAAGAAATTGTGACTGTACCGACCGGGTAACGCGAAGTGACCTGGGCAGGAAAGCCCGGACAGAAAAGCAGTAGGTTCGGAGGAGGCTGGGCGAAGCAGTAGGTTGGTGGTATTAGGGCTCGGGGACGAGGTGCGGGGGTTGAAGGGGCGGCTGGGGCGCCAGAGAGGGTCCTTTCGCTGCTCGGACGCCATCGCCGGAGCTCCATCGCTCTTGCAGCTGTTCGTCGCAGAGCCTTCCGTAACCATGGTGTCCGGTTCAGGTCTCTGCGCCAAGGTGGTCGTGGTCGATGCTCGCCACCACATGCTCGGCCGCTTGGCCTCCATCCTCTCCAAAGAGCTTCTCAATGGCCAGAAAGTCGTACGTACTCTGTACTTTTCTTGTAATATATATATATATATATATATATATATATACATACTTATATATATTTGAAGTATTTTTTTTTCTCTATGTGTGATTCTCTCGTAGGTTGCTTATTTGTTCGGGAGACATGGAAATTGAATGTTCTATCTGCTGGTTGGGGTCAGGTTGTTGTTCGTTCTGAGGAAATCTGCCTGTCCGGTGGCCTCGTGAGGCAGAAGATGAAGTACTTGAGGTTTTTGAGGAAGAGGATGAACACTAAGCCTAGCAAGGGCCCCATCCATTTCCGGTCCCCAGCACGTATCTTGTGGAGGACCATCCGCGGGTAGGCTTTCTGGGCATTCTTGTATCATGTAATGCAGTCTTTATTGCCGGGTCTTCGACTTCTAGTTTTAGTGACGTAACAGCAAGCTTCGGGAAGATTGTGCCGTATTAGAGTTACGAATTTACACAATGGTAATATACACTGTCCTCAAGTATTTGTCGAATTCAGCTTTAGTGTAGAGGGAGCGTTTAGGGCCTTGGAAAAGCATGAGTGAGTCGATGTATCCTTTCCGAACCATATTCTGATGAGCATTGATAGAGTTGTTCAAGCTGCCTGAAGCGTGGTAATATCCACTCCCGGTTCGCGCGAGTGAATCTGAGCACCGGAACCTACTCATCTTTTTTCTGAATTTGCAAAATACTACGAGGCACCTCTAAATAGGTCGTTCTGAGGGTATCTCAGTTGGACTTAAATCGATGGTCTAGGGTTTTACAGAGTGATCAAGTTAACCATGCTAGGTCAACCTCTAGTGAATCTGCTCTTGTTTCTATTCGTACCAACTCTCATCTGCTCACATGTTCACACGAACCTGTGTAAATGGTTAAGCTATCTTGGATTCCTTAATCCCTTGGTTGGCTATTTTCTGGTCAGAGACAATCCCCCGTTAGCGTTTTGAAAATAGCTTGAGAGTCAGTCTTTTCCATCCAACTTCTGATTCTTCCACCCAAATAGCTATTGAAGGGCTGAGACCCGACTGATTCTTATAAATCTGTTGTAGAATGATCCCTCACAAGACCAAGAGGGGTGCTGCTGCTCTTGAGCGCTTGAAGGCCTTTGAAGGAGTCCCTGCACCGTATGACAAGATGAAAAGAATGGTTATCCCCGATGCTCTCAAGTGAGTTATCAATCTCTCTCTAAAAATGATGCAATTTATGCTATTCTTGGATAATATGAAAAATGCAGATATCACGCGGGTTTTAGCTGCATTGGCAATGCTTACATGTCCACATTATGATGATTATTATTACTTTTATTATTACTTCCGCGTTGTGGTCACAATATCACAGCACGTGCTGATCCTGAATACTACGGCTCCACTTCAGGGTGTTGAGGCTGCAGCCTGGCCACAAATTCTGTTTGTTGGGACGCTTGTCAGAGGAGGTCGGATGGCATCATTACGACACCATCAAGGTACGCATAACTGCTATAATCCCTTTCTTGAATGAGTTCATTACTCTTATTAACTTGTTTTCACTAGTATGAACGACCATGATTGATGGATGTTAGTTATTTTCAACCTGTTTCTGTCGTTGATTAGGCTTAGGTGAGTAATTTTTTTCATTTTCTTCATTAATTTGCAGGAGTTGGAGGAGAAGAGGAAAGCCAAGTCTAAAGTGTTTTACGAGCGCAAGAAGCAGCTTATCCAGTTGCGCCTCAAGGCCACCAAGCGTGTGGAGGAGCAGCTCAGTTCCCTTCAAGAAACATTGGCACCCATCACTTACACCTCTTAAATTTCTGCATGATGAATCTTGTTCCTACCCCTGCCTCATTGTGGCTACTAAATCGCATGGTCGCAGCTTTGATGGGAATAAGATTGAGTTGATACATTCTTATTCAGAATATCTGTCAATGAATGGTACTTTTGGTTGAGATGTACACAAACTGTCAATTACGAAACTTTTGGTACATGAACTTCTCATGTGGCACCCCTAGTTCCTTACTGCAGCGCTTATATTCTATTTTAGTTTGTTTTTATCGAAGCATCGCATCGGTCATTACAATACTCGTGCGGTGCAACATTGATGTTGTACTGTGTATCGTACGATTCCCAAACCGTACATAATGAGCTACAACCATTCTGCAAGCTTGAACCCAATTTCGAGTTTTAGGCTTATCAAATGAATCGCTAGAATCTGAGTTTTCTTAAGGAGACTCCTGTGGAGGAAACGAATCTTTAAGACACCATTCTGAGTTGGAGATGTGTCCAAAACAAGGTGCTGCGTGCTGAGCACTGTAGACTAAGACTAGGTACGAGGTTATCAGTGGAATACTTTCGGCTAAAGACTGAATAGCACAAAAATTCCTGTGCAGCGAGATTGATGCTGCGAACCCCTGGAGACGGTTAGCGTCAACCACGGGATGGGATTTTTGGACTAATAGAGATCTATCAAAAATTCATGACCGAACCTATTTTCCTTGTACAGAAATAACTTTGAGTGTAGACTGAGCTCGAAAATATCGAACAAACCATTTCTGCATGTTTTCAAGTGCTATAATATTTTCTGTTGCAGAGGATATCTCAATTTAAGCGTCGAGCCTTCCGAAATGTCTCCTTACTTGACCACGCTAGGTCAAACGAGGGCCTCTTACCAATTTCTTGAGCTCTATGCTCCATGTTCACATTGGTTAACATATAGTCAAGGCCGCAACCAACAAGGTTCCCGGACGTTTAGGGTCCCCAAGGCATCTCCAGACCGGCTTTGGTTTCTCCACATAGCGATACTGGTAGTACAGCGGCGCTAGCTCACCCGTTTTTTGCACTGGTGGAATGGGCTCCGGAAGGCTCTCATTGAAGGTTAAGTTTTGAGTCATCTGGTTATTCATCTCCAAATCGTGTGGCTTCATTTGGATGCCGTTGTAAGGCACCTCCTCGTGTATACTATCTGAATGATCGCCATCTACACTCCTTCCCAATCTCACTTCAATGTCCACACTCCCAATGACCTTGTCGTCGAAGTTTTGCAACTTTCGCAAGACTCTCACCTCCAACGACATGCGCTTGGGCTCACTTAAACATCCAGGACTACACCCCCAAACCATGCCCGACTTCAGCTCGGAGAGCAGCACATGCGCATACCCCACACTTTTCTTCCGGTCGTGGTCGAAGATTTCCACCACCAGCTTCGCCTTCGCCAACGTCCCAAACAAATTTTCCCTACAGAGCATCCGAATCGTACAGTTCCACGATGGGTTCCTCCCACCTTTCTCCGCCACATGGGTCGCCGCCTTAGAGTTGGAATCGATCCAAACAACAGCGTATGGATTCATTCTCCCGAACCCATGCTTGGCATTCTTCAAGTTGTGCGCTGAAATCACAGTCACTGCAAGCTCTCGCCGCACTCCCATTTCCGTTGTTCCGAGTCGCTTCAGAATGGCGTCACCGTAGCGATGGCTTCAAAACTATCAACAGACAGCCAACTAACGTCACCTTGGAATGCGTGCACAATCAGATCAGATGAGGAAACTGACAACTGAAATGGGCAACATGGTGTAGTGCGTCGGCGTGCAGCAGATTTATAGTGGCAGGATGCGGAGGGTTGCGGGGCCGGGTAAGCGTGTGCACCCGCCGCGAGTCGTAGGGTGAAAGCGAGTTGACCGGGTGCCGTGCGGTCAAACCCGCGCGCCGACACTGTTGGACAAAGTGTGTTGACTTCCACGCCATCGTATAAGCAAGTCGATGAAGGGATGTGAAACTTTGTGCCCTCTTTTGTAGTATGTCATTGAAGAATGCATGGATTGTGTTGAAATGTAATGGGGTATTGGAAGGCATGTGAACCTAGAGATAATTGATTTTTAATGAAGAAGTTGACATAGAAAATTGACACTTTTTTAAAAACAAAATTAAAAGTTTAAATTTATTCATGTGCATTTGGATTATCTAAATTTGTTTTCATGGTGTTTAGGGTTTTGATTGTGATATGAACATCAAATTGAGAATAATGTTTTTGTTTAACTATTTATTATTATTATTTTTAAAATTTTGTTGTGATAGTTGTTTGTTATGGCTGATTTCATGGTTTTTTTATTTATTTTATTTTATTTTATTATTTTTATGGTTTGTTTTAAGATTTTGATCATTATGTTGAGCTTCAAAACATCTAATAGTTATAATTTGTATAAAATCATGGAAGATAGTAATAACTTCTATTAATACTACTAGGGGTTGAGCTAATCCTATTATATTGTGATATAATATTGAATATAATGATTCTTTATGGTATGATTTGAGTTCAATATTTATGACTAAACTTGGGTTGAAACTCATAACCACAATTTGTACAAATCATATATATTTTTGAACTTGATGCAATTATATTGTAAATTCAATGAAAAATAAACAAATGAATGAAATCAAAGGTAATGCCACAATTTTGTATACATTATTTTCCAACTCTTTTAAGGCCAAGATAAGAAATAAAAGCTTAAAATAACTTCATGAAGAAATTCAGCAATTGAAGCTAAACCATCAGCATGTTTATCTCCATGTCCTAAGCTTTACTCTAACTCTCTTTTATTGTACATTATATATGCATATAAACAAGTGAGATGTGTACGCATTGAAGTACATGGTGTATGTATGATTACCTTGTTTCTAAATTACACATAAAATTAGATTACTTTTTATAGTATCAATCAAATTTCAATTTTTTAAAAACTTACACTAGAACATGATAATTTTAGAAATTATATTAAAATAAATTTTATACAATGTTTTACAATGTTTTTATTTTTTTTCTTTTTATTTTTTTTTAAATTTAAAATTTATGTATAGAAAATTAAAATGAATACAAAAGTTATATAATAAATATTTATTGATCAATATTGATTAGTATATTTAGAATATTTACTAAAAAATATTGATTGATTCAACAATATATATATATATATATATATATATATATTTATAAGTTCAAATATAAGTAAAGAAAACTTCATATTTATTAAAGTTGTATATAAAAAATTATCAAAGTTATAAATAAGCTTCATATTTAAATATTCAAATATGAATCATATCCATTATTAGACATATGAATTGCATTCATTATTTCATATTCTAATAATCAAATATGAATCACATCCATTATTTATAATTAGGTTACAAAGCTAAAGAAGAATCCTTTGTTCAAACCAATTCAAAATGAATTAATTAGTGACTCTTAATAAATAGAATAGAATAAATAAACAAAGACATAGAATATATATATATATATATATATATATATATATATATATAGTAGAAAAATAAAAAATTAGTAGAAAAAAAAAACAAACAAACAAACAAGAAGAAGAAAAGAAATGAAAAGGAAAGGAAAAAAAAAAGTTTCTTGGTGGCTAGTTCCTAAATTCCAGGACCTAGGAATTGATAGGGATCTAGGGCAGTCCTAGATTCTTTTTTTTCCCTCTCCATGTATGGAGTGGATCTTTCAAAAGTACAAAATTGGTTTTTTATTTTTATTTATTTGGTTTTTTTTTTTTTTTTTTTTATTATTATTTTTAGGCATATTTTTAGAAGGTCAGGCTATGAGGAATTGTAGCTAATCTTTGGTTCTTTTTAAGCATAGTAGCAATGGCAGTTTGTTAACTAGTGTCACGAGTTTTGCTTCTATTCAATACTCACTTGCTAGTGGCTGGACTTTGTTGGTGTCAAAGTCTTGAACTCAAGCAATTGAGAAGTCTATTTTTGGTGAACTGCTCATAGTTAGGTTCTCTTGTTGCAGTAGGATTGTGCTGTGGTTCTACAATGCGCGGCAACTCTGAGGTAGTTGTCTTGCAATTGGAGCTACGGAAGCCATTCAACATCAATTCTTCAACTTTAAGTTCTTATCGAAGTTCTTCTCTAGAACATACGATTGAATGGTGGCTTAATCCTTTGCTCTAGTCTTATGGTATTGTTGTCAGACGGTGCAATATTGTATCAAGGTATATGGTAGTAGTTGGCTTGCCTTCATAGAAAACTATTAAGTAATTGTTCTTTTTATTGTGTCATCTTAGTAGGAAATTTCTTAAAATAAAAATAAGATACAACTATCTTAATTAAGTTGTTAATGGTCAAAGAATAATAAAAAAATGAAGATAACTTACTAATGTGGTAGCTAGGTTAAGAAAAATTTAGAGTTAAGTTGAATGGATGAAGATGATTAAAGATGAAGTTCAACTACAATAGATGTAAATTCTTTCTATAAATAAAAGGTGTTGGAAGAGAGAGGCATCTCATTTCACCCTTCTCTTGAGTGCAATAATTCTAATTTTTACTTACTTTTGTCTTGCTTGTTATATTTTTTCAATATGTCATAGGTCCATTTACACTTTTTTGTGCCATTTAAATAAGTTGATGTCATTTTTTAGTGATTGTACTTTTGTAGAATAGATCTTATGGTGTTTGTTGATGTTAGGATTTGTAAGATCTAAACTTATATTTTTGGCATGAGGAGGTACTAATTTTGACGTCATAGATCTCTAACATTATTTGGTAGGTTCTTAATTCCTAAGATTGTGAATTTAAGACCTTATAGAAAGACCTTGATAGTGTCTTTTTGTACTGTTGAAGTAATTTCACTTACTTTGTATATATTATGAAATAATTAGTTTAAAAGAGTAAGATGTCTTAATAGTAAGATTCTTTGGAGTATATATATTTGTTAAAAGCTTCAAAACTTGATTTGAGAGTGTTTTGAGTGAGAAAGCATTCTATTATTTACAAAAGAATATTTTGAGATTCTACTAGTATTAAATTGATTTGGTCATTTTGAATACATAAAGATTTTTTATTTTTTATTTTTATAGAATTCTTTTTAAATATGGATTTTGGTGAAGGTGAAGGTTTGAGAGTGATTGTAAAATTTAAAAGAGATAATTTCTACCATTGAAAGATCAAAATAGAACTTTTATTAGTATCTTTGGATCTTTGGGATGTTGTAGATGAAAGTGAAGAGCCTTTAAGTATATATATATATATATATATATATATATATATATATATATATAGATGCTAAGGAGAAGAAGGTCTTTAAAAGATGTGAAAAGAAGGCTTTTGGCATAATTACTACTAATTTGGATGAAACCAACTTTTTTCACATTATCTCTTAAAAAGAATCAGAGAAAGCATAGAAGACTTTTTGCAACATATATGACAGTAAGAACTTATCCAACATCATCTTTACAAGAAATAAATTCTTTACTTGCAAGATAGAAGGAGGTGAAGACTTCATAACTCATATCAATAAGGTAAAGGCTCTTGCAAACCAAGTAGCAATTATTGATAAGCTTTTAAAAGAAAGTAATATTATCATGAACTTGCTTATGAGTATTTATGAGTCCTACAACTACCTCATTGTGGCATTGGAGTCTATCAAATTAAACGAACTTACAATGGACTATATGACAAGAAAACTTAACCATGCAATAAGCAAGAGGAAAAAAAAAGTACCTTAAAGTGAAGATTTGGCTCTCCTTTTAAGATAAGGTAAGAGAAGCTATTTTAATAAATGTAGTAATATAAGAACTCGCTTCATTTGTGAGAAATAAGATCTTTTTGTATAAAATTGCTTCAAGACAAAAAAAAAGAAAAGAAAAGAAAAAGTACCAATAATGTACATGAATAATTTAGCAGACATGGTTTTGCATTCATGGCAAGTGAAGGCACCTCGATGGCTATCATATCTAAGTAGATTGTTAATTTGGATGCCACCAAACACATGACTCTATACAAGTATTTATTTGACACTCATGAAGAAATTTCAGCAAAAAGTATTTTTATAGGAAATAATGGTATAGTACAAGCCATTGAAATAGGCTCCATTATAGTGGAGATTGTTATGAGATGAAAAGCCAAGAAGATCAAATTAAAGGATGTCTTACATGTATTCAAAAACAAAAAAAAAACCTCTTTTTTATGAGTAAACTAATTTCTTATGTTTGTAAGGTGCTATTTGATAAGAATGGATGCTTTGTAAAGACATTGGATAGAGATGATATTTCAAAGAGTTTTAGAGATGGCAACCTCTACTTTATTAAGTATAAAAAAGAAAATAGACTTGAAGTGGAGTCATTTGCTAAGTTTCTACATGATCAAGATAAATTTGATATTTGACATTAATGCCTTAGTCATTTAAATTTTAAGAGCATGAAAGAATTCCAATCTATAGTAAGTGACTTAGATCTTATTCAATTTAGCAAAAATGCCATGACACTTGCTTATGAAGGTTGTATTCAAAACAAATAACAAAAGGCCTCATTTCTAAGTAGAGTTGCAACATATACAAGTAAGTTGTTAGAGATTGTATATTTGGATGTTTGTTGATCAATGAAGATACCATCAATTAAAGGAATAAGGTATTTTGTGACATTTATTGATGATTTTTCAAAAAAGATGTAAATTTTCATCATCAAAGCTAAGAGTGAGTGCTTTTTAAGTTTTAAGGAGTTTAAGGCACTTGTGGATAAATAATGTGAATATAAGATCAAGGTGTTTTGCACGCATAATGGAAATAAGTACTTATC